AAAAAAAAAAAAGAAAAAAAAAAAGAAAGATAATCAGGGCAATTTCCCCGATGTTGATGATGAGGACGAACATGTCTTTGGCATCCTTGAAGGCATTTTCAAATATAATAAAACATCCTAGATCGCTATACGCAATGTTCAGCTCATTTAACTGTGTCATATATTTGGAAATCTACCAAACCTCGTTTGTTTGCAATGAAGATGGAATAAAAAGACTGAGAAAATGATATGACATTTGAACTTAGATTGAAGCATCCTTCAATTGAAGAGCCTTGGTCAAAGTTAAAGAATGACATTAAACGACATCATCTGTCTGAAAATGACACGCTTACGGATCGTATTATCGAAAGATATCGCTGGCTACATCAACCATTGTGTTTCGCTGTATCTATGAAGGACTTAATCTGAGTTCAAATATTGTTTCAATGCTTACTAAAATCTAGCATGATTTATTTGTGTTAAATGCAGTTGCACATTGTAAGTTTCTTGTTTTGTGCAATGAAGGAATTCCCTTTTGAAGACCGATACCTAATATATATTTGTGCCCTGGTTATTCAAGTAAGAAATGGGAAACTGTTTTACAGTGCAAAAAGGTTTACCAGCTAAAAAACATAGAATGTCAGCACCAAGTTCTACACCTGCTACTGATAGCACTACCACTGTTTCTAATACACAGATCGTAGACCACTTTGCTCAATCAACCATAATGACAAGCAGAGAATTTCACCAAGCAGATTCTTCCTATTGGTTACCAATGGACGAGAATGAAAGACAGAGACTTACAGGGGTAAATGAGGAGTGAATGTAGAGAGAAGTGACTGTATCTAATAATGTACCATTGGAAATAGCAACATGTTGCCATTAAGGAATTATATGAAGGGTGAGGTTATTTTTTTGATTTTGCTGTATATCTCTAACATTTTCTCATACAGAAACATATTATCAAGCGTAAAGAGTAATCTTGATTTACAAGGTGGAATATCTATTCTTGATGTAGGCTGCGGACCAGGTGTATGGAGTATGGTAAGTTACCAACATGTCCTTTCGGTAACACTTCAGGACACTTAAAAAGATCACTGTTTAGGACATGTCATTGGACTATCCCAACTGTACATATCATGCATGCGATATTGTAGACATAACAAATAAAAAGCTCAGAATGAAAAACTTCACTTTCAAAAAGGGCGATGTACTCAAAGGTCTCCCATATGAAGATAATACATTCGATTTTGTCCACATGAGACTCCTGACAGGCTCTCTTTGTGTGGATCAATGGCCAATTGCTATTAAAGAACTCATGCGTGTTACCAGACCCGGTGGTATAGTTCAATTAACTGAGATTGACAATAAGGTAAGGTGGGGCTGTACGTGGGAATATTGTGAAAGATACTCATGGCTTCATAGTTACCAGACCCAAAGAATGAAGCTTACTATAGACTTATCAGTGCAAGTAAAGTATAAAATACAGCTTATGGACCTGAACTAATTCAATTCTAGTTCACAATGCCTGCAAAGCCAGAAATCAGAACCCGCGTATTGCATTAGAACTAGAAAGGCTGCTAAAAGAGAGTGGCCAATGTAAAATAGTTCAGGCTGAATACCGTAGTTGTAAAATGAGTAAGTATAAACGAGTTCAAAAGAGGCAAATAATTGGTGCTTACGTAAAATGTAGGTGATAACAATAGTATGGCCAAAAAATTCGTCTGGGACTGTGTAGAAGTAACAAGGTCTATGATACACGCAATTGGTCCTCATATGGGTTTGAATGACGAAGAAGACTGTAGACAATATATTCAGGAACTTAAGCAGTGCTTGACGACCTCTGATTGCTATATGTATTACAATGCTGTTGCTGCGCAAAAACTCTAAGCTGTTTATTTAGAATATAGATATCTGCCAATATAAAAAGCAGAAACTACTATATAAATCCAATGATAAAATATGAAAAAGATATGTTTAACAAAGACAATAATATTAATGTGTAATAGACTTTGATGAAGTTCCTTTAAAGAGAGAGGTATATTTCTTATTTATATGGCATGTCATCTCAGGTGTCATCCATTAATTCTACTGTTGTATTAAACAATGGAAATGATGCTTTCTGGTCAAATTATTTCCTACACAATTTGAATACAGCTATTCAATGGAACATGGACTCTACTATCGTGTATATTTTTTATTGAAAAGTCAAATACCATGCTAACAAAAGATAAACCCATACTGAGACTACTATATGTTTTCATACCTGCAATGGTTACGCCAATGGAGGAGTAAAGCTCTTGAGAGTAAGCTTTAATATATATTTATAGCTAAATAGCTGCACTGAGGTCATTATGAACGAAGATGATTTCATATAAAAATGTTTCTCCTTCTTTCATAATGATAATAGAAAAGTGGTTTTGTAGAGAATAACGATATTTTTAAAATACAATAATAGAAACTATTAAACAGTTCCTCTCAAGCATTTCTTTATTTACTTAGCAGCGCATAGTTCATGTATCATCGAATTTTCTATCACATCAAATACTTTCATTTGACAAACCATAGCTACAGCAAAGATAAACAGAGTACAAGATGAATACAGTTGGCGTTAGTTGCTTCCTTTTCTTTCTTGTCATCAATTCTACAAAATGATCAACTAGAAAGCAAGCTAACAGCATCGAATAGAGTGATTGTTTCCTCTGTAAATAAACTTTGTGGATTTAAAGCAAGAAAAAAGGAAAGTGATTACATTTACGATAAAACCCTCACTATTACAAAAATGTGAATATGGCGCCTTTCTCTTACAATAATATTGTCAATTTTAAGCTATTAGCTGTGTTAGATATACCATGCGAACGAAAAGCACACTGAACTTAAAGCATTTGTTCTTTAATTTTGAGTATGGGTCTCTGCCTGTATTTCAATGAATATACGTAGGTAATACAATAAGGATGAATTAAGAGCTTCGAATTTATACAAAAAGAAAATGAAGAATTATTTCAAAAAGACGATGCTTTTTATTTTTATACAAATGAATTTAAAAGTTCAAAAAGATGAAGCTTTTTACGTTTTTTTTTTTTTTTTTTTTTTTCTTTGACATTTTCTTGAAACAAAGCTATTGCATGGACAACAGTCGACTTTCACAAGCAGGCCAAGGCTCCCAAACCTCTTCCCCTTCCTCCAGTAAGTAACTAACCGATACGTACCTTCCGCAGAATGTGCCAGACCTGCAATTCCCTTTGGTTCCAAGTACCGCCTACCATGGGTTCGATCCAAAGCCCATATAGTCTCAATGAGCCCTGCCGAACGTCAAGCGATATGCATTCTCAAACCTAGCTATCTAATCCCCACCTCCTATTGCGAAGTTGCTTACAAATGAACTGCTCTGACCGACTTAGGAGCTACACCAATGGTCTTCTTACAATCATCACATCACCGTCCTTCAATGCTTCCTGTACCCTAGGTATAAGAGAACCAAACGGAACCACTATGGTTAGTAAGCTTGCGTGTATACACCAAGGTTTGAACTTACCGCTAGAAAAATCTTGAATTCATTCGTAGACTATGCGTCTAAGGGGACATTTACGGATAATAAGTTTGACTATGAGTGCTCAAGTTCACGCTTACCGCAAAAAAGATAAAGCCTTGGAACCATGCACAAAGGCACAGAGCACAGGGTTTACAGAGATATCAGGGTCAGAGCCAATCGAATCCGTCCGAAGCAAACATGAAGTGTTCCTTGGGGAAACTGCATAGCACAAACCAAACGATGGGCTCAACGGCAGTACTACTGGACGTCTCATTTTACGCAAAGGAGAACCAAGAACCATTTCGCTTTCATCAAGCGACCACCAGCAATAGACTTACGGAATTTTTTTTGTTTTTGTTTTTTTTTTT